GCGCCCGCGCCCCGCGGGAGCGCACGGGCCTGTCGCCCGCCCGGCAGCCCTGCGCCCTGGCCTTCGGCCGCCGCAGTTCCGGGGGAGGTTACTAGACCCCACGACCCCCGGGCGGTCTGCCTGCGCGGAGGGACAGTGTGGCCGCCGAAGCCCCCGCGTTTTAATTGAGAAAGACTTGCCCACCAGCAGAAAACCGCGGGCGCGCCGGGCCCCACTGTTCGTCCGGCTTGGCGTTGGTTCTATTTGTGCACACGCTTCTGCCCGCGTGAGTTTACTAGGAGTGCGAGGAGACGGCAGCTCGGATCTCAGCGCTCCGACTCAGCCCTGGGGTGCCCAGGGCTTCTCGCTCGGAAGATAAGAATAGCTGTTACCTTGCAGGTTCCCCGGGACGCAGGCTGCAGCCGCAACTAAACACTGCGTGGGGAGGGTCTAGCAGTCCTGGAAGGTGGGAGCAATCCTAACCGCAGGTGCCACTGAATCCTAACAGCAACCAGCCACCTTGCAAAAGTGACTGACTTACTTGCTGTTAAAAATTGTCCAGGGACAAGTAATCTGTACCTCTTCTAGTCTCTTAATCTGCAGTGCATGAGTTCTCAAGTGAATAAGTAAATCTTTCGCAGGGCATACCTTTTCACTTTCGGGCTGCTTAGACTATACTAGAAAACTGAAATGTTAATAAAAGACTGGTTTTTCTAGCTGGATTTCAGAGCTAGGTCCTTATATAGCAAAACTACTTCCTGTGACCATTTGGGCTACATTCAGTGGTTCTTGTTCTGTTGATACAACTTTGCCATTCTTTGTTTTTTAAAACAGTAGCTCATTAAATTTTGCAAATAACTTGTGTCCCTCAACCTCTTGATTTTTATGTCTCCAAGTTCTGTTTTTGAGGCAGGAACATACTTCCCTAGTCTAATCCATGTTGTAGTACAATTTAGAGAGCTAAGCTTCCCTCTCCATGTGTTAAAATTTAGTTTCCTAAATATAAGTTTGAAACTAAGTATTTTTTATACAATCTATGTCATAATACTAATTTGTAATGAGAATAGTTCTAAGAGTTTAGTGTTTACTGAATGTACAGTGTATCAGGCATTGTACAAAGTATTTTACATCATCTCATTTAATTTTTATAACAATGCTATAGATTTAATTCTATTATTGTCTCACAGCTTTTTTAAAACGGAAAATAGAGGATTCAGCATACTATCGTGTCACCATTGCCATGTACCTAACAAAGTGTAAAACTAACACTCAGATAGTATGATTGTAAAGTCTAACTTTTAGCCACAATGACACAAATATATGACTATAACATAATGTGATAGGTACTGTGATAAGGATTTGTACAGGATATATAGAGAAATGTTTAGATTTAGGGATTACAAAAGGCTTTTGGGGAGAGCATAGTTGAGGAGTTGTAAGCTGAGTAAAGCCAAAACTGAAGTTGCAGGCACAAAAATAGCATAAATACAGACTCTGCTTGGTGAAAGAATGTGGTTTGTGTGTATATGTATGCAATAAAAAATGATTATAGGAAACTTGAGAACAAATTAGTCATAAAGGACCCTGTGCTTTAAATTAAGGACGTATGACTATGACTTCTTGCTAATTATTATGGTCAATCATTTACTTCAAAAAGAATGTTCTGGAATCATTGCCGAACATTAACACGTTGGGTGGGAAGAAAATTGGAGATTGAGAAATCAGACCATGAATGTGTTAAGAATCCAGGGCAAAAGAAAAGATGGCTAATGGACAGATAGACAGAAATACCTGGCAGTGACTGGGGGATAGAATCAGCAAGATTTGCCTATCATTGAATAGTTTCTTTTATTCATTTATTTTTATTAGCATATATTAGCATTATGTCATTATATTCCCTGTAAGGAATTGGTTATTGCACATAACACATCTCAATTCTTTTTTCAGTTCATTTTTCATTTATTTATTTATTTATTTGGCACAGTCTTGCTACATAGTTCACACTTGTAGGGAGCCTCCTGTCTCAGCCTCCCCAGTGCTGAGATTACAGGAGTGCGCAACCATACCCGGTTTCAGTGGCTGACACAGTGCACCTAGAGTTCCAGGGGCTGCATGGCATGCAGTATCGGGGATTGAGGCCGGGTCCTTGCACTTGCCAGGCAGGCACTTAGACTGCCAAGCTATCTCCCCAGCCCCTTCATTTCTCTCCCCTTCCTTTTCCATCTCTTGATCTCCATCCCATTTGAAAGAGATCTGTCTCCTACTATCTATCTAATATCTATCTGTGGTTTCATAAATGATAAGAATGGAGTTGTGAGCAAAAGAAGTGAAGAGAAACTTATTGGAAATAGTAAGAAAAATTTCATACTGTGTGTCTTTTCTAAGGGGAGTCAGAACGTAAATCCAAGTGGTATTTACTGTCCTATCTTGAATGCATAAGTAGATCCTGGGAAGGGAGCTTGTTTCAATGGGAATCTGTTATAAAGAAAACTGGTTATCTTGTATTCGTGTTTTCTTCGGGTCTGGCTGGGTCTGGAGGTCAGAATAAGCTATTGAATTCTTAACTAGCTTAGCACCCTGGATAGCGTCTTCTTCATAGAGCAAAGTCTTTATCTTTCATTTTCATCTTAATATTTTATTCTTTGTTCTTGTGTTTTCTTTTACTTTTCTAAGTTTAACTGGCTACTTAATAATTAAGTAGCTGCTTTATTTTATTTTATTTATTTTCTTTGAAGTTTGAATTTTATTTTGCTTTTTTTCAATTAAATGCTATAATTTTTTTCTTTTTCCCCCCATAATTTTATTGATAAACAAATAGCAATGAGACAGTTTCAAATCAAATTGGTAGGACAGTTTCAATAATTCACACATTGCATACATTCTTCCTAGTGTTGCTGTACAAGATGTGGACATGATATCCTATTTACAAACACAATTAGAACAAATCCCTCTATTCATTAAGAGAATATAACTATATATCTATCCTAACAACTTTGAATACACAGATACAAAATGGACATTCATCTGTATCCACTTTTTTTGTTAAGTTCTGTTATTTGAATATTATAGGTGTGTAAACTCAGTAAAATAGTCTAAAAGAGTCCAGTAGCCCATAGTAGTATTGGATCTTCCGCTTGACTGGCAATGTCAGAAATTGTTGCCCTGAGTCCCCTGCAGCTCAACATAACAGCATGGCTTTACTTCTTATATTTCGTTTTTATACTTTTCCGCTAGATGGTTAAGACCAAGGTAAAGCAGGACCTATGCAACAAGAGTTATAGCTTTTGGGTCTGTTAAGGTCAGTGAAATCCCCTCAGGATTTATCCTG